TGCGCACACTGGGATCCCCCACACGGAGCTCCGGTGCCGCCAGAGGCAGATGCGAAGCACGAAATCGGCGGCTGGCCCTGGGAAAAGCTCCCAAGCTGAGCATTTCTGTTGTGTGAAGTGTCCGCATTAGCAGCCCGAACACGTAGGGAAAGGCTGACATCTGCGATTTGGTACGAGGCACCCGAGAAATGACAGACCTCCCGGTTCAGAGGGGCGCCCCCGCCTCGGCTCCCGGCGGGGGAGGGACCCACCGAGCCCCGGCGGCGCCTGCGGGAGCGGCTTGCCCCAGGGAAGGAAACCTCCTCTCCTGAGCTTTCCTCAAATATGAAAACAGCTATACGACAGTCTCTAGATTTGGAACGTTCACGGTCAATGGCCAGAAGTGAAAAGATAGAAGGGGACCTTCGGTATAAACTTTGAGCCTGATTCCAGTGAAAGTACAAATAACAATAGTTTCCAGGCTTTTGTCCCCGGTTTACAAAATAACACGCAAAATCCAGGTTGCACCGTGGGTCATTTTCCTCAGCCTTTGTGCCAACACACCTCTGCCTTTTAACTCCTCACTGTATAGTTTATACACCATCCCCCTACCACCCTCCCGAATTTTTCAAAGCCCATTCACATCACGGATCTGAAGTAGAAAGAAACCAGAGCTACTTTATTTTACGAGTGCTGGCGAAAGCCGCCTGGGCAGGGAGACCCTTGGGAGCCGGCGGTGAAGGCGCGGCCGGACCGAGCTGCGCTCGCCCCACGGCAGGAGGGACCCGCTCGGGTCGGCGTGGGGTCCACCCCGCTGTGAGCACGCACACACACACCAGCAGCAGAAATTTGAAGACTTGTCGGGGCGGGGGAGTGAATAAAAATTGAAAATAAGAAAAGAAAAAAAAAGAAAAAAATCGTTGGGGGTTAAACCCGAAAATAGTAATTTTAAAAAGCCCCCTGGCAGAGGAGTCCTGAAAGTTTCTTCTAGCTCTCTTCGTATTTTCTGCAGTCTGTAGTTTGTACTGGGCTGTTGGAGTCGCGTCACGGAGGACATATGCCATTCCCATGGATCTGTATTTGTGTGGTCAAAATAGTAAAGGGCACTCTTGTTACTTCGATAGGTTTCCGAGCCCTTGCTGGGCTACGGCTAAATGGCACCTTTAAGTGCCAAGATACGGGGCAAAGGATGTATTGTAAGAACGGATGGAAGTATGCTTGGCATAGCTGATATTTATTGAACTATCCAAAATTAAATAAGTTAGTTACAGATAAAGAAATGTTAGGTATTCCATGACACCATTGTTGCGTGAACTGCCTTCAATTATGTTATTTTGTTTTCAGGGCTGTTCTGCAATCATCTTCCACACGGTTGGTGGAAAGGAGCGATCTCATGGGCTGCTCTGCTTTTTCAGAGACGATCAAGTCAGTCCTGAGAGAGGGGGGGAAAAAAAAGTGGCTTTAGAAGGAGAAAAATTGCTGCTTCTGTGAGTTCAATGAATTATTTTAAATGCCATATCTCAGAGAAAAGGCCTCCTATAACAGATTCCTAGATCGTGTCAAATTATAATGAATTGAATCACAAGAAGCAATTACAAAGCAAATATTGTGATCGGTGTTGTGGGTAAAATCGGAGCCGGATTTATAGAGGAATATTAACTCAGATTTTTTTTTTTAGATCAACATTGATTAGAATGGTGTTAAGCCTAGAGACCTCTTCCTGTAGATGGCGTCCTTTGGGTACTGAGTAATCAATAATAGTACTGTCATACTCAGGAGACTTTATTAAGCTTTGGATAGTAAAATAATTAATATCTTTTTAGTTATATTTTTATTGAAAGTGAAAACCCCTGGATTTATCGTAAGCAAAAGTGTGTTTCTCCTTCACGTGGATGCAAATAAAAACTGTTTGAATAAATAAGTTCTTTCTGAACATTTTGTTGTCAAAGTGTTAAATGTCCCCGTCATTTTTATTCAAACACTAACATGATTACAGCCAATTATATATTCACCACTGTTCTTTATTTTAGAGTAATTGTACTTGTCACTAATAAAACAGAGACATAATGGATCGCTACTGTTCTGAATTTTAAAGCAATTTTCTGTAATTTGATTGAATTATACATCATCTCCACTACTTTTTTATTTCTATATTTTGAAATTCTATTTTCTTGAAAATTGCAGTTCTATTCCTGTTTTGTTGATCCTGAAGTAACGAAACCTTCTGTAACATTTATAAATAGAGCCTCGTCCCTTTTGAAACGTGGAAAATCATTATTTCAGTCCCAACATACTTAAAGCTTTAGATTGAAAATCTGAAAGTCCAGAGAAGTGCCTAAACTAGACCGTTGGCTCAACACGCTATCCTTGGAAATGAGAAGCAGAACAAGCAGAGAGGAAAAAATCTCCAGTGTGCATAGGAAGGGTTGATGAGTCTACTGCAATGATTTGAGGAGTTTCTTGAGGTTCAAACATAGAAACACATCAAGACAAGCAGTTCTGTTGCTAGTATTTACCACAGAAGAAAAATGCGCGGGGAAAATACATGCCAATTATATTCCTCTAAGAATTTAGAGCCACTATACTGTCTGTATGATCTTTTAGGTAGGCGATTATAGGTAAGAAGCCCAGGACTGAACTTGGCTATCTTTAGGAACAGACAATAGAGATGCAGAATGATACAGAAGTATATGGAGAGACCGTAAACACGTACAAAATAACCCACTGCGGTGAGTTATTCTACTGCTCCTCGGGTTGTTTCTCTGAGAATGAGCTCTCAGAGGGCTGGAGTTTTGTTGTTGTTTTCCAAAGCCGAAAGCATGTCTTTAATTTAGCAATTGTATCAACCATCAACGCGGAGAGGTATGATCTGCGTTGTCGACAAACACAAATCAAAAATTGATACAAAGGCTTTCACAAGTTAATTTCATATGACAAAACACGTGCCCACCACAACAGATAAAGTTGAACTATCGTTTGCAAACTGTGCGATTGCGTAAAAAGATGGTTTTTTAAAGTACAATCAAACATGAATGTTTTCTCCATTATTGTGTAAGCTAAAACTAAGGGAAGGTGCAGGAATGAGCGGGTGGCTCACTGTGAGATGCTTTCAGTGAAGCTTTAGCGGGACACGATACCGACCTTCAGTGAGAACCATGCTTGTTGCTTTTGCAGATTCTCTCTTTAGCATAGCCACAGAAATTAGCTTGAAGTCGCCTTGGAAGGCAGAAAAAATACTAAAAAAGAACTATTTTTCGTTTAATTAATTCCAAAGTGTGCAACGACTCGAGAGACTTTTCTTTGCCCTTTCATTGGTGTTTTGAAACGAATGTGAAAATAAAGTGTAATGTCATCCTCTGCAATATTCTGCTAGAAGACAAATGGAAATTACTTATTTGTTGGAGTTTCCGTAGCTACGGCATGATTTCATTACTTGGTGGTGTGTATAGCTCGATTATAATAAACATTGTTTTCTAAAAACTCCTAGAAAACATAACCTCAGTGTGTGTGAGCGTCTATGCGAGTGCCTCATCTAAAAGATGGAGAGAAGAAACCACACCAGGGGGATGCATTCCGGGAGAAATCTTTCTATGTTTTTCCTCTCCGCATTGTCAGTGCCGGGAGAGTCTTTCTGCAGCCACTTCATTTTCTTGGTCATATTATTATCGAGGCAAAACTACAAGCCCCAGGCTTTAGCGAGGCATGGTCCGCGCTCGGTGGGAGGGACACAAATGGGATTTAACTTGTTGCCAGTCATTTTTGTGTGTTTGTTTGTTTGTGCTGGTGCTTTAAAAGCGAAACAAATTCCAGAAACAAAGCGGGGGGGAGGGGGAGGCCGCGGAGAGAGGGAGGAGGAAAACAAGCTCTATATAAAAGGCATATCATATTAAAATAATACATGGACACACCCACTGATATCAAGGGTACGATATCAGCCCTTCCCCAAGAAACTTATTTCTAAGTGGTAGCGGTTATAATCATCCAACAAGCCCCTTGCCATCACTCCCCCCTCCCTCCGCTAAAGAAAGGAAGAATGAAAGAAAACATGGAGACCACCCTGCCCGATATAAAAAGTGTTCAGAACAAGCTAAACAAAGAGGTAGATCCTGCGAGCCCTGCTTGTGCCAGGACACCAAGGAGCGAGCAGGGTCCGCTTCCCGAGCAGCCTCATTGGCGCTAGCGCCAGCCCCATCATCCCGACACCCGCCAAGCGCGGGTCCGGCCGAGAGCGAGAACGGCACCTCGCTCCGGCACCTCCTCACGCCTGAGCCCCGACACGGGGAAAGTCAACAGCATCCTTCCTCCGAGGCTGCCGAACGCCTTCTCCTAGAGCGGTGTACAGCCGATTGTGGCTTTCTTTCTACATCGGGCATTTTGCTGTGGTTACAAGGGAACCCCGGGGCGGGGGAAGATAGGAGGATAAGGGAGAATGACGCGCTTTTGTAGGCCCTAAAATATGGATCTGCAGCTGACCCGGCCGAGGGCTGCGGCGGAGGCGCGGTGCGGGTACCGGGCCGCGGCGCACGGAGCAGCGGCGAGCGGGCAGCGGCGGGCGCGGCACGGCCAGGTAGGACGGGCGGATGGGCACCCCCGGGCACCGGCGCCCCCCCGCGCCCGGATGCCTTTGGCGGAGCGACGGAATGGGAACAGCGCTGGGAGAGAGACTCTATCTGTCCTTCTGCTGAGGAAGGGGTGGAAGCCGAGGAAGGGGGGCGGGTGGAGGGGGGGAAAAGGGCGTCTTTTCTCTCGAGTCACCGAAAAACTGCAAAGCCAGATTCATGTGTCATTTGCCAAAGATTACGTTTATAGGCGGCTGAAGATCTTTAGAACTACACCATGAAAATATTCCATCAACAGTTTCTTAGGAGTGAAAGAGCAGCTAGAGGTCTTCTTCAAGCACTACTTGGGGTTTGTTCTGCTGTTTTTCTTTTTTCTCCCCAGGTCCCCCATATTTTATTTCACATTCTTTGCTTCAATATCACAACGCCGACATCAACACCGGCCTAGAACGTTTTAACAGTAAACCAAACAGAATATTAAATTATGCATTTAAACCTCGAGAACAAAACAAGGCTTTTCACTTGTTCATTTATCTCTTGCATTTTATTACTGTCGTCTACATAACGCTGTGGATAATTCCTAAAGGATATTTTATATTTTTGTTTGGTTTCTGAATTAAGGAGAGCTTTCATTACACAGATAGACCCATTGCCTATGCAGGTGTAGCGGCTCTTTTCTGCACACTAGCATATAAAAAATAGCGATATTTAGGTTCTAAAAACCCGCAGATCTTCAAGTTGGCAGTGAGTATAAAAATATTCTGTTCTGAAAAATTCTGGCAGTGGCAGCTGAACACAGTAAATCCAGTGGATTCTCTACACTCCCTAGATAGGTTTTCTGTGGATAACATTCTACAGCTACAGGAATAAATAAATAAAATCTTCAGCTTTTAATTAAGGCGATTTAATTCAGACCTCTCCACTCGGCGTAGTCGCCATGGGAAATGTATACTCCAATGTTTACTCGGATCTCTTTCTGTCACTATTCTGTCTTGTTTTACGCTTACGACACCAGCAAAGCTTTCTGGCCCCTACAGCCATTGTTTCCCACTTCGACGTTCTGCGTTCAACCTCTGCCCGCCCAAGAAACTCCCTAAAGTTCAACAGGAGGGGAACTCAGTGCACTTAGTTTATTAAAGTCATTGTTTTAACGCTACCTCTCCCCTAGTTGCTCAGGCTTCTCTAAGGTATACAGTGCCCCGCTGGCGGTTCCTTATGGTACAGTGCAGCTTCTCAAAAGATCATCGGATGGAGAAATTTAGCTCTTTTTGAAACATTTAAGTAACTGAGCAATTAGTTCTGAATGGGATGGGGGGAGGGAAGACTAGAGAGCTTAAATAAGGAGGGCAGGGGGGAGAGACACAACACAGCTAGCCCAAAAACAACAGGGATGTGTATGCATGGGAAGGAAACTTAAAAGGTTTGTATTTAAAGTGTGCTTGCAAGGTCTTCGGCACAATATGTGCTGCTCTCCTTAAAGGGGCACCGAGTGCCAATAACCATTAGTCATCCAGTAGGGACCTTTCATTACAGATTTATCTTTAGGGGGAGTTCCCCGAAGGGAATACAGCTACGGATTTCAAACTCGGTCCAGTTCCAGTTACACAGTGCGTACCTGCTTCAATAGAAGGGAGAGATACTTACCAGAGTTTCAGGAGTGCGCGGATAGCACCAAGGTCTCTGCAGTGCTCCTTTCCTCTGCGGAATACTATCTTGCATCCGAGGCAGTTCCCAGTCTATATTTGATATTAACAACCTCAAATACGAGGCTCTCCCATAGACATTTTTTTTCCAGGGTTTTCAAGCAAATTTCTCGGTGCCACAATGTTATGATGGAAGGATGCTGAAATGACAGGCCTCGTAGACGCTTGTCTTAATCATCGGCTTCTTAATTTAGTTTTAGTGCTGTGGTTTTGTGTGTGCGCGCGTGTGTGCCTGCGCTTGTGTGCGCGCAAGAGAAGCCTCTGACAACCTGCAGCTTCCTAATGACTGACGAGGCAGGGCTGCTGCAGCAAAGTAACACTTCCCTGGTGTGAAGACCTCTTACTGGGAAGTTTAGTTCACTACTGTTCTCGCAATCCTAATCGTATAACTTGTAACTAAAACCCAAGGAAGAAGGATATAGCATGCTAAATAGACTAACTTCTAATCACTAGAAGCTGTTGCGGATTAACTGGAAACTGGCTAGAGGCGGACACCTAAACTTAAATCTACAAATTCAGAGAGAAGTCTGGACCATTGAATGCTTCTTCCTCTCCCTGTTTGCCTCCATTCATCCATCCACCTTCAGTCCCATTCACCCCTCTTCAAAATGTTTGACTACCTCTTTCTCTTTGTTAGCGCACTGCTCCGTCCCCATTCGCCATGCCTTAGCAGCAGGGTATCAGTATCTGCTGAGCAGTCCTTACCTTAATTGCCCAGGTAACCTGGAATAAATAAGGCAAGCTTATAGCCAAGGGGGAATAGAATTATATAAGCGTACATGGAGGCATTTACTGTACTGAATGTGATATTACTGATTGTTAAACCAAAGTGTCCGGACTCGTTTCATGGAAGCATGATGCCATCGAAGCGTGGTTACTAAATACCCTTTCTTCATGGCTGAAAAAAATCTCATTCATTTCTTAAGCTGTCAGTACATTTTAGCAGCTTAACCGCCTTGAAAGAGCCCGAGAGTACAGAGCCACTATACCCGTGTGAAGGGGATTGAAGGCTGAAGCTGGGGCGGGGGGTGGTGCAAGGGAAGTACGCTATATGCATTAAGTGTACGTTGGAAAGTGTCTTTTCTTCCTTTGGCCTTTAATTTAAAAACGAAATAAAAATTAAAATAATTTTTTTAAAAAGGTAGGGGGGAGGGCGGGGACGGAAAAGTATGTGGTTGAAACACTATCCCTAGGAGTTATACCCAAGAGCTGCACGGAGATCGCTGTTGAATGGCACTTCAGCCAGGATGTTTCAGCTCAGCTATTCAGCCCCATCCTGACCCCGGAGCTGGATACTCTGAGTCCATCCCCGCCGCTGGGTTCGGTGGATCCGCAGCGCCGACGAACGTGCAGGTGAGGCATCATTCACACTCTGCAGAGAGTCAGCTCCTCTCTGCACACCCACCCGCATTTCACAGGGCTGGGGCTGTGCGCCTCCTTTCCACGCAGAAGCTTCTATTCCAAACACTCCACAAAACCCTCCCTGTTAGAAAATGCTGCCATGAGGGACTTTCTTAAGAGAGAATTCGGGTTTAGCCAAAGCTGAGCGGTCAAACCTGCCGCTCATGCAGTGCCCCGACGCACAAAGGTACCACTGAAGTGGAGTCGTGCTCGGGGCAGAGCTCAGGAAGGAACTGGCGTTAGAGTAACACCGCCGCATTTCCAAAGTAAATAGTTTTATAAACGGTGCCTTTTCTGCCGAAGGAAAAAAAAAAAAAAAAGATGGACTCGAAAGTTTAAGTCCAACAGAAATTATAATTGACGTGACTTCTCTCACATATCTTTTTGCTCTCCCGTAAACAATGAATTAATCTTCTGGACGTAGAAAGATACGTACTACATATTGGACAAAACATTTCCTTTTTTAGTAGAACTGTATATGCACAGCATTAAATATATATATATATATATATATATAAATCCTAAGTTTGTGCACAGAGTTTTATTCCGCACCCGTGACAAATGACCAAATGTTAAATCTAGATCATTAAATGTTTTTAAAGTGTGCTTCTGGCGGTGTTAGCCTTTTGCTCAGAAATGCAAAAAAGATAAAACTTCTATTTTCTTCCCTGCTACATTTTCATCCCTGATCACAACACAAAGTAAACTCAGCTTTGACCTAAGAAACACCTCAAGGCATTAAAATTTCAACAGGCAATGTCAGTGTTACATTAAACAAGAACTCCTCCAGTTCGCTACAGAGCTGGGATTTGAATAAAACGTTCAATGTTAACAAACAATACACACGTTTGGCACTTTGTGTATTAAATGGATCAAAGAGATTTGATAAGGCACAATACACCATTTGTACAGACCTGATTGAGTTAATATAATATCAGCAAATTTTACAACGAAATGAATCTGTTTCTTTTCTTTGTGTTTAAAACCAGCACAGATTACAAATTTTAATGATCTGAAAATGTTTGGTATACAAAATCATGCTTATTTCAGTATTAGCAAAAACACAAGAAATTTTTCAACACAAACACCCAGCTGTGTCTATTTTAAAAGCAGTTCAATGACAGCTTGCACTTATGAGCATGCAATCAGCTAATTTCGCTTTTTTTTTCTTCTGTGTTAATCAACACTTTCCTTCCTGCATATCAGAGTACAAATAGTATAGTTACTCCACATCAGTAAATGTTTACGTAACCTGTCCTTTCTCAAGAATCTGGTTACACCGAATCATTACATGCTAGACCGAGTAGGAAAACGCACTGGGCCCAGCCACCCTAATGGGATCCTAGTGCACCATAATGACACATATTAGTTAATGATCATCATAATCATAATAATATGCAGGAAGCTTACCTTTCCTCTTACCCTTGCCATGGTAGAGTCATATAATATCGTCCACACTGCACTCTTCGTCAAGAAATCCCATACATTGACTTCAGCGTTGAGAAACGAAATAATTATGAATTGTCATGATTAAAAAAAAAACAAAAAAAACCCCAAACAACCTGCATTTCTAAAAAATGCCTAAAAAATCTAAAACTAAACAACAAACAAAGGAAAAAAGAGTGGTTGCTGATCATTAACTTGTCTGTGTGTGTCAGTAGCAACCTGTTATGAAATTGGTTAAATAAATACAATTGTGGTAAGGTCATTCGAGGTTAATCCAATGCCCAGAGTTCATGCCATCCCCAATTGCAATTGTTTATTACTGGTCCATTTTACTTGTCCTCGTTATTTACTCTCTCTTTCCCACACTCGGTTTTCCTCCCTCCCTCGTACACAGACATACACAAACACATATAAAACGCACGTCTGCACAGAACTACATTCATTGCATTGCGCTCTAACCTGAATTTCCTTAGGATAAGTTGTTTTAGCTGGGGTTGAGCTGCACGTATTGTTTCTACGGAGCATCTTTTCCTCCAGCACAAACGTGAAGCAGCTTAACGCGCTGCTAGAGGTTTACCACAGCTTTGGTCTGATGCGATCAGCACGCTCTGTCCATTACATTTCCCCTTCTCCTTTCCGAGTAAGAAGGCTGCGCGATATATTTCACTTTGTTTTCCGGTTGGGTGTTTTTTTTGTTTGTTTTGTGGAGTTTTTTTGTTTGTTTGTTTGTTTGTTCGTTCCTGTGCTGACAGTAAAAAGCGATATGCTGTGGACCATTAATACCCAGCCCTTTGGTCCCGGCAAAGCGCAGCCGTAAGCCCGAGCCTAGTGGGAAGCGGCGGTGCCAGACCCTTTCCCTGCCCCGGGAGAGCCCGGCCCGCTGCCGCCCGCCTTATCCTTCCTCCCAGCAAAACGAAACCCCGCGGAACTCAGACCCCGTGGCCGGGCCCACGGGCCGGGCCGGCAGGAAACCGCAGGGTCGATTTCATGGGCTACCAATACCAACATTTATTTGGCACGCCTGGCGCGCGGCCTGCGCTCGGCTGGCTCCGTCAGGCCGGCGGCGCGGCGGAGGAGGCGGACGGAGCCCGACGCCTCCCGCGTGGCTCTGGCGGCCGCGCAAGGGAAGCGGCGTCCGAGCGGCAGCGGCGCGGGGCGGAGGGGGCGGCGGCGGGCAGGGAAGCGCGAAGCCCGGCTCCGGCCGCCGGTGACACGGGGCGAGCGCAGGGGAGGAGATGGGCCGCTCGCTCCCGAGCCTCCCAACTCACAGTCCGGAGAGCGGCGGGCACGGCCCGGGCGGGCCGGAGCAGACCCCGTCTTCCCCCGGCAGGCCGCGGGCAGCGGCGTCCGGCCCCGGCCGCCGCCGCAAGCCGGGCCCATCCCGCCGCCTGCGTCCCCTCCGGACGATTGTTTTGTTTTCTGCCTCGGCAAAATAACAAACAGAAATAACCGGGCCTGGGAAAATAAACTCGCCGAGCGACTTCGGCGGGATCCGCAAAGTAGTACCTCCGCCGCTACCGGTGTGCCGCCGCCGCTTCACCCACCCGGCCTCCCACCCCGCCTCCTTCGTCGCCAGAGGAAGGGGCAAAGCGGCTCGTGGCAACTTGAGTGCCCCGGAGGCACTAGGGGAGCGAGCGGGCGGCCGGGCCGGGCCCACGGGCGCGGGTTGTTCGGCGCGGGGGGATTTGTGCTCGCGGCGGCGGCCGGGGGGGCACGGGGCGGGGGGCGGCGGGCAGACGCGCGGGCACGCCGCCGGCCCTGATTGGGCGGCCGGTGGGAAAGGTTAAACCAAAAAATGTTTTACAGCCCCGGTGCGTGCCGGCAGCTCTGAAATTAATTGCGGCCGGGGCGGGCTGTATCGCCCGTCTGCCTCGCTCCGCGCCGGCCCGCGGCGGCTGCTGCTCCCTCCTGCCTCCCCCTGCGCTGCCGTGCCGGGGGAACCGGGCACCATGAAGTAGCTTTTTTTTTTTTTTTTTGGTGTGTCTGTGTGAAACAGCTCCGACTCGGTTTGATTTTTCTCTGATCGGTGATTATTATTACTGTTATTTTTTCCCTCCCCGGCGGTTCCTGTCCGTGCTACATGACTTGCCAGCGCTTGAGACTGCGGTCCAACTGCGCTGCCGCCGCCGCCGCCGCCGCCGCCGCTGCCGGTGGTGCCGCCGCTGCCTCGGCCACCGCCACCGCTTCGGCCGCCGCCTCCGCCGCCGCCCCGCGCGCAGCTCCCTCAGCCGCCGCAACTTTCCCCCTCAGACTAGTGTGTGATGTTGGACATGGGAGATAGGAAGGAAGTGAAAATGCTGCCGAAATCCTCCTTTAGCATAAACAGCCTGGTGCCCGAAGCCGTCCAGAGCGACAACAACCACAGCAGCCACAGCCACCACAACAGCCACCACCCCCATCACCACCACCATCACCACCACCACCACCACCACCCGCCGCCGCAGCAGCCCCAGCGAGCGGCCGCAGCCGAGGAGGAGGACGAGGAGAAGGGGCAGCACCTCCTGCCGCCCCCCACCGCCGCCGCCTCCGGCGCCCTGGAGGTGGCCAAGGCGGACATGCTGGCGGGCAAAGGCGAAGCGGGCGCGGCGGCGGCGGCGGCGGCGGAGCTGGAGGAGAAGGAGAAAGCGGCCGAGGAGAAGAAGGGGGCGGCGGAGGGGGCCAAGGACGGGGAGAGCGGGAAGGAGGGGGAGAAGAAGAACGGCAAGTACGAGAAGCCGCCGTTCAGCTACAACGCGCTCATCATGATGGCCATCCGGCAGAGCCCCGAGAAGCGCCTCACGCTCAATGGCATCTACGAGTTCATCATGAAGAACTTCCCCTACTACCGGGAGAACAAGCAGGGCTGGCAGAACTCCATTCGGCACAACCTCTCGCTCAATAAGTGTTTCGTCAAGGTGCCCCGCCACTACGACGACCCGGGCAAAGGGAACTACTGGATGCTGGACCCCTCCAGCGACGACGTCTTCATCGGGGGCACCACCGGCAAGCTCCGCCGGCGCTCCACCACCTCTCGGGCCAAGCTGGCCTTCAAGCGGGGCGCCCGGCTCACCTCTACCGGACTGACATTCATGGATAGGGCAGGATCCTTGTACTGGCCTATGTCCCCCTTCCTCTCCCTGCACCACCCCCGGGCCAGCAGCACTTTGAGTTACAATGGGACCACGTCCGCCTACCCCAGCCACCCCATGCCCTACAGCTCAGTGTTGACTCAAAACTCCTTGGGAAACAACCACTCCTTTTCCACGTCTAATGGGTTAAGTGTTGATAGACTAGTCAATGGAGAGATACCTTATGCCACTCATCACCTCACAGCAGCAGCTCTGGCAGCCTCAGTGCCGTGTGGCTTGTCAGTTCCCTGCTCCGGCACCTATTCCCTAAATCCCTGCTCTGTAAATCTCCTAGCAGGACAGACGAGTTACTTTTTCCCCCATGTTCCTCACCCTTCAATGACTTCTCAAAGCAGCACTTCAATGACGGCCAGGGCAGCCTCCTCCTCCACGTCGCCACAGGCGCCCTCCACTCTCCCCTGTGAGTCCTTAAGACCTTCTTTGCCAAGTTTTACAACGGGACTTTCCGGAGGACTTTCTGATTATTTCACACATCAAAATCAGGGGTCTTCTTCAAACCCTTTAATACATTAACATCCATGGGATCAGACTGTAAGTGAACATTTTACACACATTTGCATTGTAAATGATAATTAAAAGGAAAAAAAAAGCAAAACAAAAAAGTCCAGGTATTTTTTATTAAGTCCCCCATTTTCTGTACGTTTGTTCAGTCTTTAGGGTTGTTTATTATTCCACCAAGGTGAGGAGTGTCAGCAAGGTGCAATGTGGGGAGATTGCATTGTAGACTATGAAGTTTGGAAGACAAAATTATAGTAGAATGTGTATCTAAATAGTGACTGCTTTTGCAATTTTTTACTCAAATATGATGAGTCTATCACTAAAAGCCGCCCGATTCTCCATGTTTGCAGTATTATAAGTTATCATGGACATGTCGGTGGGTGCAGACCTTGAAAGAAAAAAAAAAAAAAGAAAACCAAACCAAACCACTAAATTTGTGAAAACTATAAAAAACCTTAAAACATAATTTGTATTTAAGCAGAATTAATAATGAAAAATGCCCAAGATCTACTTTTGGCCATTTATTATTTTATTATTTTCTTTACCGAATTGCTTTTTTTTTTTTTTTTTTGTTCATTTGTTTGTTTGTTTACTTTTAGACCAAAGATTGGGTTTTAGAAAATGCACTCAGTGTACGAAGTAATTTAAAAAACACAGCAAGATTATTTCAGTTTTCAGCACTGCCCGTTCAAATTAATCAGAAGGGGACAAAATTAATGATTGCCTTCAGTTTGTGTTGTGTATATTTTGATGTATGTGGTCACTAACAGGTCACCTTTATTTTTTTTCTAAATGTAGTGAAATGTTAATACCTATTGTACTTATAGGTAAACCTTGCAAATATGTAACCTGTGTTGCGCAAAAGCCGCATAAATTTGAGTGATTGTTAATGTCGTCTTAAAATTTCTTGATTGTGATACTGTGGTCATATGCCCGTGTTTGTCACTTACAAAAGTGTTTACTATGAACACACAGAAATAAAAAAATAGGCTAAATTCATATATACTTGATAGTTTTTTTGTCTCTTTTATTAACCCTAATGTGGCAGAGGCTTTAAAGTTACAGTGAGATCAGAGCGCTGCTTTTTGCACGGTCCACCATTTTTCACATGCTCCTTTCTTTCTCCCCCCGCCCCCTCCCATGCTGTCTTTAACTGCAGTATTTTCAAATGTAAAGGATCAGGGTATTGAATCAATCACCATGGCCACTATTTTGATGTCCATTTTGGGGCAGGACTCTTATAATATCTGCTTAAAAATTGTTAGTAGAAGGTAGGGTGTTTTACTAAAATCTGACTTAGGCTGAAAATGCTTAACATTGTATATGTATGCAAATATACATACATACATATACAATTTAAGTATATAAGCACACATTGGGGAAAAGGCCAAGGTGCATTATTGTATAGGTACGTGTTCTTCCTGCAATCTCTGAAATGCATTCAAAGACTTATTGTACCGAAAGAAATTAATTTCGTCTCTATGATGACTAGAGATATATTAGCAAAGGATGTGTACGTGTGCGTAAATACACACACATATCAGCTATCATATGATCGTTTGACCAAATTTAGCAGGCTATGATATGTGTGTGTATAAAATATAACCCTTATCTTAAAGGAGCGCTCTTCCGGAAGTATCTAGGCTGTGTGTATTTATATACTTTTCGTGCTGCAGACACTTTGGCTGTAGGTACTGTGAAAGTAGCGGTATTTTTTGGCAGCCAGCGCCGAGCTGTGCCCCGTGGGCCGGGCGGGGGGGCAGGAGCCGAGCGCGGCGAGGTGAAGGCGCAGTCCATGGCAGGGAGGCAGGGCGCCGCGGGCTCACGTGACGCCCTGCCTTGCATACCGATCTTTGAACGTTTTAGGGGCTAAAGACAACCAACCAGCCAAACAAACAAAGAAAAAGAATCAACAAAACAAACCTGTATGGATGCACTTACATGTAAACTTTTGAAAACGAGCTCTTTTTCTCTCGGTGCCGGCTGAAGCCCAGTAACTCACGCAGGCGTCCCTAAGAAAGCTGCGTTGCCCGGAGAATCGATCCATTAGTTTTGAGGGGGCAACGCTGCTAGTAATTTTAAGAAGCATTTAATCCTTGAAAGAATTGGTGTCTTGATGAGTTTAGAGAAGCCTATAAAGGCCACAACTCTTGAAAATAATTAGAAAACTTGTGCAAAAGGTTTAGGAACTAATTGGATCCCGCGGAGAGTCCGCAGAGGACAAGTTGTTCATTTGTTACGTTTGTAGCCCAAACTGAGCTCTGCAGCAGTGCAATAAATCGGCGACTGCTCACAATAGGCCGAATGAAAAATAATCTCTAGGTCGGAGATGTTATCGCAAACGCTTTAAAGAGCTTATCTTAGAAAGACAGAAAAGAGGAAGAAAGAGGGGGAAAAGTGCCGGGGGTGAATAATGAAGCAATAGAAAATCTGAATTCTTGCAGAGTGTATTTGTCGTGCTGAAAGAATAAAGGGAGGAAGAGAGAATCTCCCGAAAATAAGTAATATATAAACAGATGCAAACAGATCTACAGGAAGGAGAGAGAAGTGAAAGGTTACGGATGAGAGATGGGACACCCAGCTTTGCACTGTGTGGGGGAGAAGGAGAGAACTCTGATATTCTTAGCTTTCACTCTCACTCCTGCAATTCAAAATTAATCATCACTATGAGAAAACGATTGCTTTGTTTGGGGATGGAGAGATGGTACCATCACTTGGAAGCTCCTACCCTCCCCCATTTTCTTGGCTCTATTATCATTAAAACAAGTGATGCAAAAATACAAAAAAAAAAGTAAAACTCCTTTTCAACAAAACTATTGGAAATAATAAAATACAATAGATGTGATTTAAATTCTTGAAGCCTAGAGACCCCATTCTATGTACCAGTGCCTAAACAACTTAAAAGAGCAGCATCTGCTGCAGCTGACAAAGCAAATGATTTATTATTTACCACTTGCAACTGATTGTATGCTGTAGGAAATCCAATAGCACATACGTAAAGTATTATTTTGTTTGCAATGTAAAAAAATTAAATCTGCTGTCAGTGTACTGAAGGGAGGAAAGAGACAGATCAGGTTGGAGGAAAGCACAATCTCACCATGTCAGAGTTTGAGGTTGGCTAATAAGCATTAATTAGATAAGCGTGATGCATAATAATTCCTGAAAAAGGTAGCCTTGATGTAAGTCTCTCCAGACTTAGCTTAAGCCGGCACTCGCTCCCAGAGCTCTCCTTTAGGCTCGGTGTTGCAAAGTATTGCCTAAGGAGTTCAGGTGCCACAGACTTTTCCCTCTTACACCAGGCGCAGGGGTGGTTGCTGAGCTGGTAATTTATTCACGTTAGCAGGAATCAGACTATTTTTGTAAAGGAAAAAATAAGTACAACCCAAACCAAAAATAAAATAACACCAGTAAATCGCGAAAGTTGTGGTGGATTGTGTCAGGATTGCTAAGGCCCCAAATATGTCTTTACCTCTGCCTGCTCCTCAGACAGAGAAACCCTTTTGTTCGCTGAGGCTGATCTTTGCCCAGGCTCGTTCGGCACTGAATTCGAGGTGGTGGTTTGTTTGTTTTTCTTTTTGTTGTTGCTTTATTGTTGGGGGGGGGGGGGGGGGGGGGGGGGTTTTTTTTGTTTTTTTTTTTTTGTTTTTTTTTTTTTTTTTTTTTT